TTAACTAAAATCAGAAGAAAGAAAAATGTACTGCCATAGAAGGAATGCATGTAGTAAAATAATTGCTTTGAAAAAACTAAAAAAGAATACCAGATAGAAACAGAGAAAGCTTAGCAGGGGACCTAAGAAGCAGAGTGGTCCCCATGAAAATTGAAGCGAGGGGAAACAGAAAATGGAGCTGAAAGATGAATCCTTTGTATCTTGTCTTCACGTTAAAGGCCCTAATAAGAAATAGAAAATAATGAAATTGAGTCGGTGAATTTGAATGATTGAAAAAATTGGGAGCGAATTGATTAGGGGGGAAAGTGGGAAATGACCGCGTCCGTGCACATTCCGTGGAAAAGTATAAGATTCGATTAGGGTCCTGAAAATGAAGGGGCTACGAAGACTATAGGGACTTTTTTGGTCGGATTCGACTGAAAAGTGAAGCTCTGCTTTGCTTTCCTTCTACCACTCATCTTTTCCAATTACTGACAAATAACAGAGATGGAAAATCGAAGGCCATTGACTTTGACGTGGCCTGCAACGCAGAACTACTTTGTTAGAGAAGTCCTAATGAGTAATGACAGTCGCCCTGCAGCATGCGCTTCGCCACTCTCTCCTACTTTTTGAGAATAAGAATGGGTATATTTTTTTATATAAAAAAATTAAAATTTAATAAAATTAAATTACAAAACTTCAAAAAATTTTCATTTAATATTTTTTAACTTTCTTTATACGTTACTTTTTCAGTAAAATTGCAACCCCCAAATGAAGTGAACTTTTAAGCAGGTAAACATTTGCCGTTATCAATATGACTTGTAAAAAATTATCACTGACGTAAGCAATGATTTCCCCATTCATACTAAAATTTTCCAAAATCAATTTGTGACGGGGGTTCCTTCAGTCAACATGAACCCGAGCCATAAAATTATGCAAGCATTTAGTGATACTAGTATCATTAGCTAGCTAGGTCCAGGTCAGGGACCGAGCCAACGAGGGACGGTGGGGTAGCCGCCCTCCTAAACTTTTGAAAAACATTTAATAAGGTACTTTAACTTTTATTTGTTACAAATTTTGTTTTATAGTATGAATTTCAATAACCATTTCAAATGTAGAGAAAATATTTAAAATTTAAATAAAGAGTTTTTAAAAAATAAAGATCTGATTCAAAATGAAATGAACTTTATGTTAACTTAATTAATTTGAAATTTAAGTTCTTAAATATTTGCTCATTTATTAAGTCCAAACAAAAAAAACTATAATTCTCTACTTAAATAACTTTAAATTTACAATTTTTTTATTATTTTTTTCTTAATATTTATGTAATAATTTAATTTTTTTTTATTTGGCATCACTATAAGTCTTTACGTTTCATGATTGAATTTATAATTATGTATTTTTTATGTTAAATCAAATTAAGTTAAATTTCAGTTTTTATAAGAAAGATTTTAGCATATTTTTATAATATTAGTATTTATCAACATAAACTCTAAAAAATTAAAAGAAAAAACACTCTAAAATTATATTATTTTAATAAAACCAAAATACTTTCATTTTTACTTAAAAATATATTATTTTTATTTTTATCAATGCAAGTTTATTGAAACAATATAATTTTTTTAGTGTTTTCCTTCATAATTTTTAGAAATTTGACTAACAAACATGTTTTTTTTTTTTT